GGGTTACACGCACAACCTTCCACCACGTAGAAGCGATAATCGAAGTTGGCAGCTCGGTCGTTTACGCAATAGATGGTCATGTATTGACTGACAGAAGGGAACAGGAGTGAGATCCTGAGGATGTTTATTTGTTTGTTCGTTGTTGATTCTTTTTTTTTAATTAGCAAAAGAAAATTTAGGTTTTGCAGAAGACCGTTGAGGATTTCATGGAAAGGGGAAAAAATCAAAATATTATGCCTAGCTGACTGAAAGACACTTTTGTGGGTCGCTCAGTAATAAAGATAATTTAAAGAAAAAGAGAAATGCATTTTCTGGGACACTTGTATCTACATTTATAGTAGAGGGTTTTACGGCGCTCGCAACTGCATAATGTCATATGAGAGCCTTCTCTCACTTGAAAAAAAAAGAAGGCAAAAGAGACGGGGGTCGATCATGAACAATTAATTTACTAAGAGAATTTGAATAGATGTGTGACTTGAAAAATATCAGGGATAAAGACACAATATTAAAGGTTTTTCCAGAGCACCCGAGCAGGGTGCTGATTGGTGAATCAAGACTGCCGATGGCTGCTGTAGCTTTTTGTTTTACTACGGCGCTTGCAACTGCATAAGGTCATATGAGCGCGCGGGACACATGAAACTTTTTCAGTTTTTAGGAAATTTTAAATTTTGCCCCGTTGGCACTAAAAAACTTACAAGATATTCGCTTTCACTGCCTGTAGCTGGGTACCCATTCCCACCTGAGTGAGGGTAGAAAAATTAATTGTGTAAAGTTCATTTCCTAAGGACACAGCGTCGGGCTCCTGGTGGTATTTAAACCCAAGACCCTCCAGTTGCGAGATCGAGAGCCTAACCACTAGACCACCGAGGCGATCCTCAATGTTCCGTCCTACTGGCAGCCGCCCCGTTAGCTCAGTTGGTATCTTGCTGAACGAAGAAGCGGGTGGTCGTGGTTCGAATCAACGACTGGGCGTTTTGATGTAGGGTCATTTTATGGAGTCTTCAATGCTCTCAACCCAAAACGATCCGGTCGTATCGGATATGGACGCTTAATTTTGGAGGTTCCGCTTCTTAGATAACCTAATAGTGTTGAAAGGGACGTTAAACCCAAATACTTTACTTTTCTTTTTGACGCCCCATCAAAGATGGTCGATTAACAGGGAAGCGCTGCCTCTTGATAACTTGTACCGTATTGAAAAGAATTTTAAAGCTTTACAATGGACGCCTGTGATTTATTCGTTAGGTTATTTCCTGGGGACCACAAAGAGACGACGCCATTTCCATTCTCACGATAAAAAGTCTATTGTGAGGTAGTGTGGGTGAAATCAGGGGCTCGTCAAAATAATCAAAGAAACTGGTATTTTTCCGCAGGTTTGTGAATTTTTATCCAATTTTTGTTTTTTGGCTCAATGCCTCCTTTCATGCCCACTAAAGAACATTATTATTTGTTCTGTGTGGATTTTACTGAAAAACGTTGATTAAAAGCACACACAAATTGCAAATTTTCAGTTTCCACGGACTCACAAGCTAAGGAAATTACTAATCTTTAGTAGCCATTTTCTAACTAATTTTACCTCTGAAACTAGGTGACCAACCCCCACCTCCTTTATTCGCAAACATTCTCGACTTGTATTCAAGATATACGGATCTTTTTTTTCTTCCATCTAAAGCAAGACAAATGAATAGGCTTTAGGATGATACCAATAACCCTACACGCCCAAACATTGATGAGAACCTGATTCCACCGCGTTGTGACATATTTCATTAACAATTCAGTTTTTCTGTTTGTTCGGATACCCAGTCACCTCTACAAGCAGGAACAACTTCCTCAAGAACAATCGAACAGACACACAGACAGGAAATGAAATCTTGTCCCGACAAAGTAGCTGGCTCTGCTGGCTAAACCCACGGAGGAAATGATCATTCATTTGCTGCTGAACTTTGGTTTTCTGGTGCATGAGAGATTTCTGAAGCACCACATTGGCTTGATGGATGGGCTTTTAATCGTTACACGCTAAAATATTGAGTTTGAATCCCGTACGAGAAAGTCTGTTTTATCGAGTAACAAAAGAAAGGTGCCAGAAACATGTTCAACTAATTCGAAGTTCTACAGTTTTAGGTTAGACGCGAGCTTCAATTCCAGGCAGAGCCGAGACATTAAGATCAAAGGCCCAAGATCCACGTATAGTTGCCTGAAGGATCTTTATTCAACATGATAATACCATCGCGTGAACAGACCACCCATCAAACTGAAACCACCCCTCAAACTGAAACCATTGTTCTGTTTTGTAGTATTTGAATCGTGCAGTAAAAAACCTATATAACTGGGTTGAAACGGGGCTACCCTTGGGATTTACTGTATTAAATAATATCCTTACCTAAGATATGGCATTACCGCGCTTCAGAATTAATCTTACATAAATTATATTATAAAGGTTTCCATTGAAATGTAATCAAAACCGTCTACAAAAAATGAAACAACCCCACAAAAAACCCAAACC